TTGTTGCTTATTTCCTCTTTACCTGTCTTCTTTTGCATTCATGTTTCGTTATTTCCTTTTATCTCCACTTTTGGCTTATTAGCTGTATGTCCTTTCTGGTATTGTTTTGTTTTTCAGAGGTTCCTCTTGAGTTTACAGTATATATCTTTTCACTTACTCCCGTTAAAAAACATTACTTCGGCCGGGCGCGGTGGCTCAAGCCTGTAATCCCAGCACTTTGGGAGGCCGAGGCGGGTGGATCACGAGGTCAAGAGATCGAGACCATCCTGGTCAACATGGTGAAACCCCGTCTCTACTAAAAATACTAAAAATTAGCTGGGCATGGTGGCACGTGCCTGTAATCCCAGCTACTCAGGAGGCTGAGGCAGGAGAATTGCCTGAACCCAGAAGGCGGAGGTTGCGGTGAGCCGAGATCGCACCATTGCACTCCAGCCTGGGTAACAAGAGCGAAACTCCGTCTCAAAAAAAAAAAAAAAAAAAAAATTACTTCGCACATGGGGTAAAAATCATAAATAGCGTTTTTTCATTCCACTCTCCCATGTTTTGTGCTGGTGTTATCATACATTTTATTTCTGTAGATGTTACAAACTCAAAAAACTCATATTATTATTTTTACTTTAGCCAGTAATCTTTTAAAGAGATTTAAAAATTATAAAAATATATCTTTTAAACTTATTCACATATTTACCACTTCTGGCACTTTTTATTCCTTTGCATAGACCCAAATTTCTGTCTGGCATCATTTTTCTTCTTCCTGAAGAAGCTTCTTTTATATATCTTACAGTTTAAGTCCACTAGTGATTAATTCTCTAAGATTTTGCTTGTCTGGAAAAAAAAAAAACCTATTTTACCTTCATTAAGAAAAATTGTAAGTATGATTATAAATGGTCAGGTTCTTTTATTTCAGTTTTTTTTTTAAATGTCACCTCAATAGTCTTCTGGATTACAAAGTTTCTGATGAGAAGTCTGCTTTCATTCTAATCTTTGATATGTAATGTGTCCTCTTTCTCTAGTTGCTTTTAAGATTTTCTCTTTAACACTGATTTTTAGTGATTGTATTATCATGTGACATAGCTTGGGTTTTCTTTATGTTTATTCTTTTGGAGGAAGTTCATTGAGCTTTGGATCTGTGGATTTAGTTTTCATCAAATTTGAAAGGTGGTTCCCACCTGTCATCTCAGCACTTTGTGAGGTCCAAGTGGGCGGATCACTTGAACCCAGGAGTTCAAGACCAGCCTGCACAACATAGTAAAACCCCATCTCTACAGAAAATTTTTAAAAAATTATCTGGGTGTGGTGGCATGCCCCTGTATTCCCGGTTACTTGGGAGGCTGAGGCAGGAGGATCACTTGAGCCTGGGAGGCAGAGATTGCAGTGAGCCAAGATTGTGCTACTGCAGTTCAGTCTCAGTGAGAGAATGAGACTCGGCCTCAAAAAAACAAAAACAAACCCAAATCTTGGCTTCCCCAGTCTTGGAGAATCTTCTCCCAATCTTGGCTTCTGGACTTATCAGCTTTGTGACTTCAGATACATTATCTCTGTTTCTGAGCCTTAGAGATTAACCTCAGACATAATAGCCCGCTTCATAAGGCTGTTGCTAGATAAAATGAGGTAGTATGTGCAAAAAACTTTGCTCAATGCCTGGCACATCAACAACTTCGATGAAAATTAGCTGTCATAGAAATAGAAACAGCCGGTCCACACTGGCCACCAGGCTGCAAGTCTTATTGCTGATGTGCAGAAGAGAGTTGATTGCAGGTTGGATCTCTGCTGGGTCTTCTCCCTTCAGCCTATCTCAGCACAGTTTATATAACCAGACCAGCAAAGTCAGGTTTCTCATCGGCACCTAGCACATGAATTTGTTTCTACACGGATTCCCAGCATAGAACACTCTCTGACTGAATAAAGGAAGGAAAGCTCATGTGGCTGACTCATTTGTTGACTGTTTTTATACAAGCAACTCTTACAAACAAGGAGAGGCAGGAATCTATTTGAACTGACTTCTGTTTACTGCGGTCGGCTGGGATGCTGGCCAAATTTTCTGGACTAGAAATGAAAAATAAATATTTTTTTTCTTGTCTGTAGAAACCAATCTACCTTCAGATCTGTATATTTCATAAGGATCACTACTGGATTCCATATTTTGTTGATTTGAGGGAGTCTCGGCACCATTCCAAATCTTTTTCTAAATGTCGTTAGTATTATTGTCCATGTAAATGAAGATTTATTTTATGGTTTCAGCTAAGATGATATTTCAGATGGCAACCATTCCTTGCCATGGGCTGGTCCCAGTTTCATCACTAAAAGGCTGATAAGCAAGAGGAAGGCAGATGATGCTGGGTACTGCTGGGTTCCCAATTCCTGGCAAAAGAAAAAAAAAGCAGAATGTTTGCAGTCAGTCTGCCCTGGTGGTCTTGGTCACACTAAGAATAAGAAAGACTTTTGAAAACTGAAGACAGAAGCGTGAAAAGCCATTACTGTTAACCCTCCCATTAACTGCGCCATGTTACAATGGATAAGGAAGGGATCGTTTTGCACATAAGGCATCTCTGCCCTTTCTTTGGTCAGCTGCTTACCTGGTCACTTTGGAGCTGGGACTAGAAACATCTGTGACCAAGGTATGGACATGCTGGACAGAAGGAAAAAGCCCACCTGCTGAGAGGGAGTAGTATCGGGTCGTTTGGGAAACAATGGCACACACCCATTTCTGTATATGCTGTGCCATGTGTTCGTGTCTTAAAAGGCCACACACCTCCCCACTTTGCAGAGAATTTAGCAAGCAAACTCCTTCTCAAATGCAAAACCACCGATGACATTCAGCCGGACTCCTGGGCTCAGAGCTCAGCCTGAGTGTTGGGTTAAAGAACATAGAAACAGTTTGTTCTCTCAAGCAGATCAGCTGTCATTCCCCTGCCTTTGGTGCATGCCATTGGTGCATAAATAATGCTAATTTAATTCCACATGCATTGCCTTCGACTTAGCCTCCAACTGCTAAGGCTGGGTGGGCAGCGTCTGTGTGTGTATGTTGGGAGGTGAGGTACAATGATAATAAATAAAACACAGTGACTGTCTGCCTTCCCTTAAAAACTCACCCCTGGAGACCATCCACCAAATGCTTTTAAGATGCTCAAGGCTAAGACAGCCAACAAATTGACCCCAGATTCTCCCTGTCACCCCTAGAGACTCACACGACTGGATTCCCTAGAGGTCCTACTGCCATCTTGTGGGAGTACAGGAAGCATGGAGGAAAAGGGGCACATCATTTTGGGGCCAGTTGGAGATGTTGTCCACACCCTCTGCCTCCCGCTATCACTTTCCTGTGTCACCAGGGTAACCAACACATCACCCATAATCCCCGCAGGTCCAGGCAGCCAGGCAGCTGGAAGGTCAACGCTAATGAAAGATGCTATCTGGAAAACGAGTGCCAAGCCAAGCTGACATAATTAGCTGTATTTGTGGTCCTTGAGGTTTGGTAAGTGAGGATGAGGTGGGAGGAGAATTGGGGAGGGGGGTATCTTCTTCTAAAGCCTCTGAATAAAGAGAGCAATTTGGATGGCTTCCAGTTAGCGATAGCAACTTTCCGAGTGGCTATCTAATTAGTGCCTGCCCAGCTTCTGAAAGACGGCTGCACACAGCAAATAAAACAGAGACGCTTGGCTTCCCCTTAGCTCCAGCCCATGGACTTTCAGGATGTCAACAGCTTCAGATTCAGCGTTCTTTGCCACTATTCCAATGCATGGGGGCATTTTTCCAAAAGAAAAGTGCCATTCTCATCATTGGTGCTCGGAATGCAGGTTGATAATGTCGTTGACATCCCAGAGCCATGTCATCTCAGAGGAGCTGTTAGTTGGCTGAGATTGATGGGGAAAGGAGAAATATGGATGCAACAACAAACATCCTTTTTATCTGATTTTAAATCTTCCAGTGAGCCAAAGTTTCCATGTATGATCTTGAGCAAGTGGACTACCCTAGACTGTTTCCTCATCTGTAAAAAAGGGTTGATTATCAGCACAAGCTGAAAGGTTGTCATTCCGGTCTATGACAAGGGTGTCATTTGGTAGATGTTTAGGAAATGGTCCATGACGATGATGACAATAACAGCGATGACGGTGATGACAATTACCATGATGGGATGGTGACAATGACGGGTAGGTGAAAATGATAGTGACAACACTTGCTTCCCCTCAGTGACCTTGTTTCCCCGGAGTGAGGAGAGCTCAACAACACGTTATAAAAGAGGGACCAGGCTGGGCATGGTGGCTCACGCCTGCTATAATCCCAGCACTTTGGGAGACCGAGGCAGGCAGATTACAAGGTTAAGAGATCGAGACCATCCTGGCCAACAGGGTGAAACCCCGTCTCTACTAAAAATACAAAAATTAGCTGGGCATGGTGGTGTGTGCCTGTAGTCCCAACTACTTGAGAGGCTGAGGCAGGAGAATCGCTTGAACCTGGAGGCGGAGGTTGTAGTGAGCCGAGATTGAACCATTGCGCTCCAGCCTGGGTGACAGAGCAAGACTCTGTCTCAGATAAATAAATAAATAAATAAATAAATAAATAAAAGAGGACCCATTGGTGGATGAGCTTATGTTCCTCATTGTACAGTGAGGCAGAATAAGGGCAATTGCCACATGGAGAGAATGCGTGACCATTTTCGAAGTGCTTTCAACATGCTATCTCATTTGCACCGTTCCGCTGCTCTGTGAGGAAATTGCTACGACCACCCTCAGTTTACAGAAGATAATTTAAAAAAGAAAAGAAAAGAAAAAACCATGAGACTCAGAAGATTAAAACCCTTGCCCAAAGTTCCACCAGGGGTGAGTAAAATAGCCAGGTCTTACACTTGAGCCTTGGGACTTCAAATCTGAAATTCTTTCTGTGGCACAAATAGTGCCTCCCGTTAGATACGCCACGGCTTGGGTAGCCACAGCAGCTCCAGCCAGCCTCCCCCAGGGGACTGTTACAGCCGGGCAGCCCCCTTCTCCATGGTAACCGTGTGCGACCAATAGGCCCTGATCAAAAATGCGGACATGTCAGAAGAGATGCAACAGGACTCGGTGGAGTGCGCTACTCAGGCGCTGGAGAAACACAACATAGAGAAGGCCATTGCTGTTCGTATCGGGAGGGAATTTGACAAGAACGGTTCCACCTGGCATTGCATCGTGGGGAGGAACTCCGGGAGTGACGTGACGCATGAAACCAAACACTTCATCTGCTTTGACCTGGGCCAAGTGTCCATTCTTCCAGTCAAATCTGGTTGAAAGCCTGGATCACTGCCACACACCCACGATCCATCCAAAGACAAGGACTGTGGCTGAAATTCTAAATACCAGAGACTGAAATTTCCAGCCTTGCTGAGGGAACACCTTGATGCTTGAACCTTTATTGTGTATCCTGCAGGGTATTCTCTGTACTAGTTTGTTGTGGTTATAAGCAATTGGCAAAATAGCCCACATTGGTATTTATTTTCTCTTCCATACTTCTGCCCCACATTGTTTTCTCTCAAAATCCTTTCCTTTAAAAAAGAGATCTGTTGCAGATGTGAAAAAAAAAATAGCGCCTCCCAGGCATTTCAAGGAGAGAGGCTCGGGACACTGGTGAAGGTGGGGGACACTGGTGAAGGTGGGGGACACTGGTGAAGGTGGTTCCAGCACGTGGACTTTGTAATAAAGAAGCTCAAGAGAGAGAGATTTGAGACAGAAAGGGAGTGGACGTCTGTGGCCAGTGACCCACAACGCTCACTGCTTCTGCTTACGGGAGAGATGGGAAGTTGATAGGAACCCAGTACCAAGCCAAAATTCCAAAATACGCTAAAATAAGTTACTTTTGTTATCTATGCATAACAAACCCTTTTAAAATTTAATAACTCAAAACAACCACTATTTAATCTTCTCTTACATTTATGGAAGTTGGGAAATCCCAGGTGGGCTGCTGACCTCTGGGGCCTATTCTGAGCGGAATCATTTGAGATGGCTCCCTCACAGGCGATGTTGGCTATCAGCTGAGATCTCAAGTTGACTCCCCTCCACGTGGCCCTTCCATGTGGCTCGGGCTTCTCACAGTTTGACTGCTGCATTCTGAAAGGGAGTATCTCAAGAGTAAACTTTACAAAAGGAAGCATCTTCATCCATTTTGTGTTGCTATAAAGGAATAGCTGAGGCTGGGTGGTTTACGAAGAAAAGAGGTTTATTTGGCTTATGGTTCTGCTGGCTGGAAGGTTCAAGACTGGACATCTGGTGAGGGTCTCAGGCTGCTTCCACTCATGGCAGGAGGGAAGGGAGCCAGCATGTTTAGAGACCACCTGGTGTGGAAGGAAGGTAAGCGCCAGGCTCTTTTTAACAACCAGTTCTTGTGGGAACTAATAGAGTGAGAACTCACTCCAGCTCCACCGTGGACGATCAAATTTCAACATGAAACAAACTGTATCCAATCTATAGCGGGGAGAAAAGAGAAGCTGCCAGGTCTCTGAAGACCTAGCCTCAAACGTCTCAGGACATCACATCTACTAGGTTCTGGTGACTCAGAGCAGTCACAGATCAACCCACATTCAAAGAAAAGGTGTAAACTCCACTTCTTGATGTGAGAAGAGGCATGTTCATACAGGGAGGGGAGAAATTGTTGGTGGCCTCTTTGGAGACGAGTTACCTCAGAAGCTGAGCTCTATCATTTTCCAGCAGGAATTATACTGAACTTGGGTTTATGTAGTATTATCTATAGTAATGAAGTAATAATCACTACAGCTTTTTGAGTGACTCCAGGCCACTTAAAAGAACCAGCAAACTTCTATGACTGCTCTAAATGTTAGACAGATCTAGCATACTTAAAGTTAGTTGCATCGCTTGAACCCACAGGCTGCTAAACTACAACATAGGTTGAATTCATAGCTTTAGGATGTATTAAAAGAGTGGGGCTCAGTTCTAAAATTTAGATTTTGGGGGAAGCTTTTAATGGCTGAAGCAATCCCCAGTTCATGGAGCCTCCCATGTCAGTGAATCTTGCCTTGTTTGAAAATTCCAGGGTGACTACTTTGCAAGAGGAAGCCATGTTTCCTCCTGATCGTCTCCACTGCAGCTAGTCTGTCTCTAGAGCTATACTTTAAGTTAGACCCAAGCATTTTATGTACCTAAAGAGTGATAATAGTTGCAAATTCATGTTAGCAGAAAATGGGGAGATAGGTGGGCATAGACTCAGAAGGCATTAGACCAGGAATGAAAAACCGTAATTTTACCTAACATTTCTGACTTCATTCTTGATTGATTTTTAGCAGGGGATTTTCCAGAGAATCTGAATTCCATGTACTAGCTTGAGCAGCTGGGGGTTCTTACTATTTCCTTGGGTGGCTGCCATGAACGACACCTCCCTGTATTTATTTCCTTGTGTAATTTCGTCCCATGTTTGACTGGGGCTGTCCTACTGACTTGCTTTAGCTCATGGAATGCAGAAGTGAAGTCCAGGAAGCGTCTGTTTTTGTGCTCTTGAGAGCCCTGAGCAGCCGTGTAAGAAGTCCAGCTATTCTCCTGGAAAGGGAGATCATATGAAGGGGCACAGAGGTCCAGATATGTTAGGGAAGAGGTCAGCTTGGATGTTACAGACCACAGAGTTGGGCTGTTTTGTTATCCACTTGCTCAAATCAGAGGTTTCCATCACAAGAGCTCAAACTGGGAGATCTGGGTTTGTTCCGATGAAAGGAGAAGGTAGGTTCTTATACAGCATACATACCATTGCCCAGATACCCCCAAGAAAAGCCATGAATGGGCCAGATTCTGGTGGCTGGGCAGGAGGATTCAGAGTTCCACTTGCCCATCAGACATCACCCACCTTGGTACAGTCTGGGCATACTCAAAGCCCTGGCCTGTGGGAGAGCAATTTTTTTTTTTTTTTTTTTTTGAGATGGAGTCTTGCTCTGTCACCAGGCTGGAGTACAGCGGCGTGATCTTGGCTTGCTGCAACCTCCACCTCCTGGGTTCAAGCGATTCTCATGCTTCAGCCTCCAGAGTAACTGAGATGACAGGTACATGCCACCATACCCAGTTAATTTTTGTATTTTTAGTAGAGACGGAGTTTTACCATGTTGTTCAGAAAGGCCTCAATTTCCTGACCTGGCGATCCACCTGCCTCAGCCTCCCAAAGTGCTAGGATTATAGGTGTGAGCCACTGTGCTTGGCCAGGAGAGCAATTTCTTCTACCTCCTGGGCAGATGTTCTGTGACTGCTGCTGTCAATTACCCATCATGATGAAGGAGAGCTTCGGAGGCAAAAGTACAGAGACCACCTGCTACTCCAGCCTGGTGTGGAATTCCAGGTCATCAGCGTAGACAGCAAAGGGAGGAAACTAGAACTTCCCTTTTCATCACATTTCTGCTCTGGGAATCCAATTTCTACAGCCACATTATGTTATTAAAAATGCCAGTTTTCAACGAAAAATTTAAGACACACAAAGAAACAGCAGAGTATGGCTCATACAAAGGGAAATCAGCAACCAATAAAAACTGTTTTTAAAGAAACCTAGGTGTTGAACTTACTAGGAAAAGCCTTTAAATTTACACAATAAATTAAATATATTCAAATAAGTAAATACAATTAGGCTTAAATAATTTAAGGAAAGTGTGAGAACGATGTGTTATGAAATAGCAAATACCAAAAAAGAAACAGAAATTATAAGATGAACCAAATAGAAATTCTGAAGTTGAAAATTAAAACAGAAAGGAAAAACTTACTAGAATAGCCTAGTAGCAAATTTGAATTATCCTGTGTGGCCTGGAGTTATGAATACAGAATGCTGAGTTTATTGTTTTCTTCCTTTAAACTCTACAGTATAGTTACACGTAGTTAACATACCCTACTGTGCACTATATTAGGAGCACTTCAAAAAGTCCCATCCCAGAAAAGTGTCACAATTTTACCTAACTGGCAGCTCCCTGAAAAAGCCATATTTGCAAATCTTCTCATTATTTAACCTGAGACAGAGTTTGATAACTGGAAAAAGCCATATCCTAGGGAATTTGTCAAAAAAATGGTGGAAATTATTGAACATCACAGACCAGTTGGAAGAAATAAGAAGCTGATCAGAAATTTAAAGTCTGGGAAATGAGATGACCATAGGGAACTTTGGAAACCTCCAACATATTCCTGGGAATCTAGAATTCCATGAACATGTGCATGGGTGTGCACATGCCCAGAAAGCACCAAGTGAGGTCTTAACCTCTCACCTCTGGATGATCTGAGACCTGATACAAGCAGGAAGTGAGAGTTTGGAACTGACAGGACATTGAAGGTACACACAGAGCCCCTTGACAAAGGGCAGAAGTCCTATTGGTTCAAGACATTTAAGGGACTCTGTCCAATCATTAGCTTGACACTAGGCTAAACAGGCAGATATTTCAGCAGCCACACATGACAAGCAATATAGACTTTATACAATTAGTCCAGAAAGGTTATTAAACAAACATATTGGGAGGAAAGAAACATCAACAGCCACAAACCCTGGGGAAGGAATCCAATTTCTAGAGTAGCCACATTACATTATTAAACATGTCCAGTTTTCAATGAAAAATTTAAGACACACAAAGAAACAGCAAAGTATGGCTCATACACAGGGAAATCAGCAACCAATAAAAACTGTCTTTAAAGAAACCTAGGTGTTGAACTTACTAGGAAAAGCCTTTAAATCTACACAATAAATTAAATATATTCAAAGAAGTAAATACAATTAGGCTTAAAGAATTTAAGGAAAGTGTGAGAATGATGTCTTATGAAATGGCAAATACCAAAAAAGAAATAGAAACTATAAGATGAACCAAATAGAAATTCTGAAGTTGAAAATTAAAACAGAAAGGAAAAACTTACTAGAATAGCCTAGTAGCAGATTTGAATTATCCTTTCTGTAGAACAGAAAGAAAAAAGAATAATGATAAGTAAACAGAGTCTCAGAGACCTATGAGACATTATCAACCGTTCCAACATATGAATAGTGAGAATCTCAGCAAGAAAGGAGAAAATAAAGAGCAGAAAAAAAAATATTTGAAGAAATAATGGCAGAAAATGTCCCAAATATACTTTTTAAACCATGGTAATCTGTGCATTCAGAAGCTCAGTGAACCCAATAGGATAAATCCAAAGAGATCGACACCTAGACACATACAGTCAAAAGAAAGAGACAAGGAGAGAAACTTGAAAGCAGGAAGAGAGAAGAAGCAACTCATCAAATACAAGGGATTATCAATAATATTAATAGCTGATTTCTCATCAGAAACCATGAATTCCAGAAGGCAGTGGGATGGCATGTTGAAAATAATGACAAAAAAACATTGTCAACCGGTAATTCTATATCCAGTAAAACTATCCTTTAGAAATGAAGAAGAAATTAAGACATTTCCAGATACATTAAAACAGAAAGAATTTGCTGCTAGAAGACAAAAAAATACTAAATAAAGTCCTTCAGGCTGAAATGAGAGAACACTAGACAGGTAACTCAAATCCACAGAAAGAAACAAAGAGAATTGGTAAAAGTAACTGCATAAGTAAATATACAAGATAG